CACTTATCGCTTGTTTGTTTGACGGAGCGGTGAACTCCCTCGTTTGCACCTTGGTTCTCAATTGGCAGTGCTCACTTCGCCGGTTCAGTCATACGCCTTGAGAACACCACAATTTAAGGTGTGTTGTTTATGTAATTGTAACACAATATTTACAGTACCGCATACTTTTTCGCTATTGTTGGAGCCGAATTAACCTACAGAACATTGGGACTTGGCTTCTAAGGTTGCGCGTCATTCAACGTTGGCCTGAATAGTTATTTGGGTTTATCAATAATAATAATAATAATCATAATAATAATAATAATACGAACCACGGCGATGTACACCCTTCTATTAAGGGTCAGTGAGATGTCACAGTGGGCGTCACAGGTGTCGCAGGTTGGCGAAAGTTGCTCTAGCTTCCACTATTCGTGATGTGACCTCTTAACCAACTCCACCTCCAGTTGTGATTGAGCTCCTGACTATTTCAATCTGATTGCCATAACTATTAAATGCAGGCACAGGCTCCTGCCAGTGTTGAAGCAGCACTCTGCACTTTGATAGGGCAAAGCATATACCATACCTGGATACCTCTAGTGCCAAGTGGTTTAAAGCTTGGACTGCCTGTGCACTGTCACCCAACAAGGCGATGTCATCGGCATATTCTAAATCAAGAACTCTGTTCCCACCGTTTGCTAAACCAGACAAAGCGTCCTGTACAACATCCTCTATGGCGAAGTTGAAAACGAAAGGGGATATAGGGCAGCCTAGTAGACATGAGGCGTGACGAAAGAACTCCTTGAGGATCGACACATACTTTTCTGATACTCCATTCTTCAACGAACAGCTCCATAGTGCGGTCCTATCAACAGAATCGAAGGCCGCGCGAATGTCGAAGAACACAATGATCGTTGGTCTATGATAAGAATGACGGTGCTCAGGCAGNGAAGATTTGATTGATGCAGCCACAACCGGCACGAAAACCAGCCTGCTCCTCGCGGGCATGTACCTCGCGCATTTTGTACAATCTACGTAGAATGATAGACGCTAACAGCTTTGAGGCTATTGGGATCAGGCTTATACCCCTATGATTGGCGCAAGCATTGCGCTGGCCCATTTTAAAGATTGGGACCACATTCGACTTCCCCCACGAGGATAGGACCTGTTCACTGTTCCAAACTTTAGAGAACAGGAACTGTAGTTATCTAACAAGCCTCATTCCACTATCTTTGAATAGAGCTGGGGGAAGGCAATCGGAGCTTGGTGCTTTGTGACGTCCCAAGGCTTGGATTTACTTAAGGATTTCGGCCTCAGAGAGTGGGTCTGTTGACACAGACCATGGGACGTGTGCCGGAATAACTGTGTGAGAAGCTGACACTGATGGCTAGCTGAACTGTGCTTTGAAGTGCTCCTCCCAGTGTTTTTCCTAAGGACCGTACAGACTAAACACATTTTTAGGGATAAACTCAAATCAACTACCACCTCCACTAGGGGACATTTCCATCGCCAGCAAACTCTTCTTAGAACAGGATACCCAGTGTCTAGTCAAGTTCAGTCATGAATTACTAACCTCGTACCCACTCATCGAATCATACTCAGTCAGCTGTTCATCTTACACACTAGCACTCACGATTTGGGTTCTATTTTCAGGGGGTTTATGTTGATTTCTTCAATACAAATTTTCGACTGACTTGTCGCAACTACCCATATCCTCCACATTAAATTTAAAGGCGGAAATGACAAAACTGGCTGAAGCTGTGGTTTCTGTTTGTTCAGCATCACGTAAAGCGATCCTTCTCTTATATTCGGTTTGCGCCAAGCAGATAATTTTTGTTCGTCTTTTTCTCACCGTTTCAACCTTGAATGTCCCATCTGATCCTGATATTCCTAAATTTTCAACCGGACAAAGTACCAGGTCGCCATTCGCTTATATCAAGTTTACTTCAGGGTTCAGTTTTGCATGGCCAAATCTCAATGATTTCCTAGTGGACACCGTCCCCGTATGTTCCTCTTCTAGCTACTCTGAGTGCAGGGAAAACTGAGGTTCCAGCTATTTTTTCCGGGTTTAGAGTCTCTTATCACACAATATAATTCATCACCCTTTACCAAACTCAGAATTAATATGTATCAAAAAATGAAAAAAACTGTATGATTGCTGTAAAAGTGTCTGCGATCAGGTTGAGAATAGCTTGCTTTTCTTTACGCTTGTCCTTCGAAACATCAATCTTCATCTTTATGACTTAATGTTCAATATCGGATTTTACTCTTATTTCATTGGTTCTTTCTTTACCAATTCACCCCAAACTACAGGTGCATCTTTTGACGAAGCGACGCACAATGATGGAATGCGCCAGCGATATTATGAATGGAGTGTTGTGGGATTCTGGATATTTTTTTCGCCAACATATATATATATATATCACGACAAGTAAGTAGTATATGAATGACTAGACAAAATTTCCCTGGAAGCACACAACCGGTCTCGTGATTCTTGCCGTTCGTCAGGCATGTGTATTCGGTAGTCCTTTGCCTTTTCATTAATATACTTGTACCAAGGAAATGTATTTTCGTCACAATAATCTCATATGCAGCACCGGGTTAATTTGTTTCGACAACTATTTCGGAATACATCGTACATTTTAATGGCCTGTGGCTAATAGAAGCAAAGCCAAAGTGGGCATTATGATTATCATTCCTCAGCAGATTGCTAAACGGCCCAGTTGGTGTGGAAGAGGAGCCTGTAAAATGTTCGGTTGGCAACAAGCCATCAGGTCATAAGAAATGGATAGGAACTGATGACGAATGGTGGACACAACATCGACTAAGAAGCAGTTTAAAAGTATTCTCACAGCACCCAACAACCATCCCAAACGATTATATGAGAAGGCCCCGACAAACTTCCACAGCATTTAGAATCACCGAATCGGTGCTGTGCAAACAATGTAACCTGGTTCAAGCGCTATTGTTACCATTACCTCAAGTGCTTGCTTCTTATTTCCCTGTGAAGATCACTCTCGTTTTTTGCCTCCTCTAATCTGTACACTTTGTGTTCGTACATTCGCATCTGCTTCATTTATTCTCCACTTACACCGTTCTTATCGTATATAGTTTACACATTTTCACTCCAATTTTCCCCATCTACTTCTCATGGCTTGTTGTCAACTGAACACTTTGCATCCACACACATATACACACACACATATACACACAC